ATTATTTTGTTAATAATAATAATGTTATTATTTAACATTTTTAAGCACGTAATATTTTACAGACACTTTGGTGGGGGGGACAGGTCGTAGAAGTACTAACGCAATTCTAACATCTACACATTTTCAATAAGCCCATTGTCCTAAAACTCCTCATGTATCTTTTATTTATATTATTTTCCTCCCAAATCACAACTATGAAAAATAGAGATCGATGATTTTATGTAACTTTATTGGCCTTAATCCATTACCCTTCCCTATATTCACATCGTTTGCCATATGACTTCCCTATCTCTCCTACGGCCATGTGAGTAGGTCAGAGGAATGTTAATTGGTGTGATGTGACCAAAGGCTGGAAAGGCACCTGCCTATTTGGGCTTGCTCTCTTATACTCAGAGGGTAAGTGCATTTTAAATTTTAATAGCTCTTTTTTCAAATTAGACCACAAAGTTGTACTATTTCTTCATGTTGTTCTCATTAATAATGAAGTCCTCAAAATAATTCCATGAGGTAGTTACTATTATTAACCATATTTTACAGGTGAGGAAATTGAGATTCTGAGAAATTAGGTGACTGACTTGGCCAAGGACACAGAACTAATAAGTGGTGGTGTCAGGACTCAACTGCAGGCCCACATTCTTAACCCTTTCACTGTGTGTCTCCCTTGTACTGCCTCATACAACCATCACCACCATCCACCTCCAGAAATTTTCATCCTGCCTAACTGAAACTCTATGCCCATTAAACACCAATTCCGCATACCCCCATCCCCCAGCTTTTGGAAACCACTATCCTACTTTCTGTTTGGCTAATATAGATACTCATATAAATGGAATCATGCAGTATCTGTCCTTCTGTGACTGGCTTGTTTCACTTAGCATAATGTCCTCAAGGTTCATCTATGTTGTAGAATGTCTGAATTTCCTTCCATTTTAAGGATAAAGAATTCTTCATTGTATTTATATGCCACATTTTGTTTATCCACTTATCTAGTAATGGATATAGGTTGTATCTACCTTTTAGTTATTATGAATAATGCTACTGTGAGCCTGGGTGTACAAATATCTGTGCCTGTCCTTGCTTTCATTGACTTAGGGTATATACCCAGAAGCTAAATCACTGGGTCATATGAAAATTTTATGTTTAAGATTTTGAGGACTCGCCATGCCATTTTCCACAGTGGTTCCCATCAGCAATGCACATGGTTCCAATTTCTTCGCATCCCTGCTAACACTTATTTTTTTGTTTCTTGCTTTTGTTTAAATCAAGACACTAATTTCTTCTCACAGCTCAGAAAAAAAAGTATTCTTCTATAATCACTTTGATTATATCGTTTCTTCTAATCTCTCTAGTCTCTCCTTATAGATGTTTACTGGAATTTCTGAATGTCTTGCGTGCCTTGTGTTTTTGTACCTTATATACTGAATGACATCTTTCCAAGTTTCACAATTTTCATCTCTTTTCATACTATATTCTGAGGAAACTTCTTGGCTTGATCTTCCATAAAAATGACTTGGTTTTCTTTTTCTTTTCAGATTTCATCTATTTATTTGAGAGAGAGAGAGAGCGAGAGCACATGCAAACAAGAAGGGGGGTGGTTGGCGGGGGGAAGGGGCTGGTTAGAGGGAGAGGAAGAAGCGCTCTGTGCTGAGCAGGGAGCCCAGGACCCTGGATCAAGACCTGAGCTGAAGGCAGATGCTTAACTGACTGAGCCACCCAGGCGCCCCTCTTTTGGTTTTCAACCACACCTATTCTTCTATTCAATTTTTCAACTAAAATTTTTAGGTAATTTGTGTGATTTACATCAGCAGTTGGGGAGTAAGAATTTAGTCCCAACTTTAATATTTTTCAATTGCCCATTAACTGATAACTAAGCATTTCTTGAGACAGTCCTTCTTCTCCCTAAATTTTACAGGATTCCAAAGAGTTTGCCCCAGTTCTTTTGTCAATCAGCTGATAGAACTTGAGTGTGATGAGCCTGATACTTTGACTGCTTTTGTCACGGACAACAGGGATACTTTTGAAAACTACTGTGACACCTACTCCATCACTGTAGCTTTGCCAGCAGGGGTACAGGCCCTTGCACAAGGGCATCTCTGATGCCCTAGGTTTAACCCGCAAGGACACAGCTCTTTCAGCTCACATTCAAGCTTACTCATTATTTTACTACCTTAACCAATCTGCCAAGGTGTTTGGGTTCACAGATATTTCTTGTTGTGGCTGCAAGATATCCCATAACCAACCCTCCCCAAGTTAACCTTTCACTTTAATGTTGACCCTTGCATACCTGTCCAGATTCTACCTACACCCATGGTGAGTTCCTCCCCAGGAAACCATGTTTTTTATGCCACTGGACTTTTCACGGACCTAGTCAGCCAAAGAGGGAGTAAAGACATTAAGCATCAAAAGGAAAGGAATTGACCTTTTCGTCTTGGGTAATTTCTTCTTCCCTATGCATACATTCCCATCTCCTTTCCAGTAATCAATTTAGCATTCCAAAGTCAGATTAAAGGCAGCTTTTCTCAACCAAAGAAATTCATATCCCTCTTCACCCAGGCAGTGGGTTAATTGTATTCATTCAAGTGACACTTTTCGGAATGAAAATTAGTTCCAGAGTGACTGGTATTATCCATATATATGAAGAAGCTTTGGAGAATTAAGAACTCCACATTCTACATCATTAGTTGCCCTGTTACATTTATTTCAACAATCATGTAGAGGTTTTCCAATTTTTATAAATTCTCTCATATACTTTACTTTTTCTTAGCAGTTTATTCTGAGTTGTATCAATATAGTGTCCTTTCAATTATCTTTGAAAATACTACTTAAACTGTTTTAATAACATTTTCTATGTTTCTCCAGTAATTCGATTTCTTCAATCATTTCGATTTGTTAAAATTGGTAACTCATTTTTACTTTGTTATTTTTTCTTAAACATCTGGAGACTCAACCACCTATAAGTAACAGTGTAGGGCAATTGAGAATACATGGTCAATGTGAAAATCAGAGTTCCCTTGATAGTGAATTTGATTGCAAAGGACAGAAGCCATGGCTATGATGAGTGAGCTGGGATCTGTCATCAGAGATATCTTTCTCTTAGGGTAGGTAGGAGCTTGCTGTCAGGATGTGGATAGGTTTCCCCTATTGGCAGCTGATATTACATGGGAGTACCACCCAACTTCTCTTTTTAGCTCCAATACTCACTATAAATGCCCTTGCTTACTCCCACTGACAAAATCCATCCACCCCTTTATTAGTTCTTGAAATATTTATGCCAGCTCTGCTAGAGCTGGGAATGTACGCATTTCCCAGGTGCTTGGAATGTCCTAGTTTCACTGGTTTTCCTACTAAGTATCCAATAGATGATTCCTGCCTCTAGTTCCTAATGATTATGATCTTGGGGTTTTTCCAAAGGTCTGTTTAAACAAAACAAAACTCTCTTCTTCTTCCATTACCATTCTCTTTTATTTACATTAACTGCAGTTATCAGTTCTCTCTGGCTACTCCATCGAGCCAATCCCATCTGCTTTATATCTTCCAGAAATTTGTTGCTTCTGCTGATATCAACCTTCACATTTCCTAGTACTGTTACATTGTTTTTATTAATTTTATATTTATTCACTCATTCCAGTGGAACATTGGAGAAAGAAAAGTAAATCTGTATGCTTAATCAGTCATCCAGAAGGCACTTAGCCCCCAAATGACTTTTTCTCTTATTTTTCTTTTTTCCTTTTTTCTTTTCTATTTGTATTTCATTGCCCTTTATTTAGTTTCCTTTGTTTTATTCAAATGGCTTTTAAGCAATAGGATAGTGACAAGAGCACTGATGTTGGAGTTATGATTCCTTTATTCTGATCGTGTTTTTGCCATTATTAAACAGGGCCTGGCTCATGGTAGGTGCTCAATAACTATTTTGAAACAAATGAATGAATACAGTAAATTACAATCCTGACCCAGACTTCAGCTTTCTCTAATGTAAAATTAGGAGGCCCCTGTAAGTAACAGCAAGCTATGATTCTTCTTGGGCTGGATAGAAAACATTTATCATCACTTAACCAGGAAGCAGCAAGAAGAGAGAGGCTCCCAGCATGAGCAGAAATGCAGCAATATGTGATCACATACGGGGCAAGCTAAGACAGAAAACTGTGATCAAAAACCTAATAGGAGACCTTTGACATCAGAGTCTCAGGGAAGTTCAAAGCAATCATAATTAGGCTTAACAACTGATTCTCAGGGGACTATAGAGCTGCGATCAGGCCAGAGGGCAGCTGAGTACTGAATTAGCAGAGAGAGAGATAAAAACACAGTCTGCCTTTCAAAGAACCCATGTTAACAACCTCTCCCTTTTCCTAAACCCACATCATAAAAACTAACCTAGGTAAAATCCTCTGGGGCCAAAGGCCTGACAACCATGCCCTGAGAAGAAACTCCCCAAGATCCTCCAACCTGACTTAAACGCTTCCACCAGGTCATCCAATGACAATGAGGTTTCCAAGTCAGGTGGTATGTCTCAAACACACACACACACACACACACACACACACACACACACACACACACACTACTCTCTACTAAATGCAGTCATCCAAAACAATTCATTGGCAATGATATTGCTTGGCAGACCTAAAAGTAAAAAAAATCATGGAAACTGTCTTCAGGGGGCTCTTTACATTCTGAATCACCTTATTTCTTCGATAACTATTTTATTATTCTATGTCTGAGAATCCAAGGAAACACAAGAGTTTGCAAATTACATAACTGCCTAATATGCCCAGTTCGGTGGTCTTCAGAGACAATGACCTGGGGGGCTTGTTAAAGCACATTGCTGGGTCTTACCCCCAGAATTTCTGATTTGGAGCAAGGAGATAGGACCCACTGCTCATGACAGGAAGATGGTCTCATGACATACACAACTGAGCCTAGGGTGACCTCCTCCCAAGTCACATCCTCGGGTATATCTATTGGGACGCTTTAGGCTGCAAGTATCAAAAAACCTCACTCCCCTGGAAGTACATCCCAATGGGTTTTTTTCTATAGACCCACATTATTGGGAATGCCACATAGAGTAAATATGTAGTTTGCTTTGCTCACAGAATTATGTTTAAATCTGTGGGAAAGAACTATAAGGCAGGGCTACTAAAACTATTTTAGGACTAATGGTCAACTTTTTTCATCCTAGGTATTGGTATATCCCAATGATTTGTGCTAATCTAGAGTGTGATCGTTTACGAGTAAATATAATTTGAAATTATTCATGTATAGAGGATGTCTGAAGTTGACAACGAGGCAGGTCCAACTACTCTAACCCTAAGTATGGTCCTAACATGCATTTCTTGAAGAAATTGGATCCCAAGGTTTACAAGTGGAGAATTTTTAAAGTATGTCTATACTTAAGTAGGGATCAAAGCAGCCCAACTAAAAGAAGTGTGGACTACCTGACATGACAACTGCGGATTAAGCAAAAGTTCTCTTAAATTTTTTAATTTAAATTCCATTTAGTTAACATATAGTGTAATATTAGTATCAGGTGTACAATATAATGATTCAATATTTCCATACAACACTGGGGCTCATCACAAGTACACCCCTTAATCCTCATCACCTATTTAACCCATCCCCTAATGCACCTCCCCTCTGAACCATCAATCTGTTCCCTATAGTTAAGAGACTGTTTCTCAGTTTGCCTCTCTCTTTTTTTCCTTTTGTTCATTTATTTTGTTTCTTAAATTCTACATATGAGTGAGATCATATAGTATTTGTCTTTCTCTGACTTATTTCACTTAGCATAATACTAACTCCATCCATGTCATCGCAAATGGCAAGATCATTTTTTTATGGCTGAATAATATATATCACCACTTCTTTATCCATTTATCTGTTAATGGACAACTGAGCTATTTCTATAATTTGGATATTGTAGAGAATGCTGCTATAAATATTGAGATACATGTGTCCCTTTGAATTAGTATTTTTGTATCCTTATGGTAAATACCTAGTAGTACAATTGCTGGATTGTAGCAGAGTTGTATTTCTACCTTTTTGAGGAATCTCCATACTCTTTTCCAGAGTAGCTGCACCAAATTGTATTCCCACCAACAGAGCAGGAGGGTTCCCCTTTCTCCACATCCTCACCAATATCTGTGTTTCTGATGTTGGTGATTTTAGTCATTCTGACAAGTGTGGGGTGATATCTCACTGTAGTTTTGATTTGTATTTCCCTGATGATGAGAGAGCATCTTTTCATGTGTCCGTTGGCCATTTCTACGCCTTCTTTGGAAAAATTCTGCCCATTTTTTAATTGGATTATTCATTTGGGGGTGTTGTAGATTTTGGATACTCTTTATCAGATATGTCATTTGCAAATATCTCCTCCCATTCAGTATGTTTTCTTTTAGTTTTCTGGACTATTTCCTTTGCTATGCAGATGCTTTTTATTTTGATGTAGAACCAATAGTTTATTTTTAACTTTGTCTCGCTTGCCTCAGGAGACATATCTAGAAAGAAATTCCCATAACCAATGTCAAAGAAGTTACTGCTTGTGTTCTCTTCTAGGATTTTTATAGTTTCAGGTCTCACATTTAGGTCTTTAATCCATGTTGAATTTATTTTGGTGTTTGGTGTAAGAAAGTGGTCCAATTTCATTCTTTTGTATGTTGTAGTTCAACACCATTTGTTGCAGGGACTATCTTTTTCCCGTTGGATATTCTTTCCATATTGTCAAAGATTAATTAACCATTTGATGGTGGCTCATTTCTGAGTTTTCTCTTCTGTTCCATTGATCTATGAGTCCACTTTTGTGCTGGGACCATAATGTCCTCATCACCACAGCTTTGTAATATAACTTGAGGTCCAGAATTGTGATGCCTCCAGCTTCACTTTTTTTTTTCAAGGTTGCTTTGACCATTCAGTGTTTTTGTGGTTGCATAGAAATTTTAGAGTTGTTTATTCTAGCTCTGTGAAAAATACTGGTGGTGTTTTGATGTCTACATACCTCCTATCTCTTCTCCTCCTTTAGTTGTGGAGTTTGTTCTGTTAGTCAACACATCAATTTCTGGGGTATTTAGGATGATTTGTTATCTAGTTATTTTCACGCAATGAGACAAACCTATGATCCTCCTACTTAGCTTCCATCTTCCTCCTCTCAAGCAAAAATTCTTTTTAGAAAGGCTATCTTGAAGACTATGACTCAGAAATTGGAGGAACTAAGGTGATTGGCAATGAAAGGAATCACAACGTGAAATTCCTTAAGCAAAAATGTATTGACTTTAAATAATTTTGTATACATCACATATAAACAAAAGAAACTTTACACTTAAAAAAAAAAAAACCTCACCCCAACTGGCAGAGACAATAAGAATTGTTCTAACCATGAGTATTAGCTAACATAAGGGCAAATCCAGAGGCATAGTGAACTTCAGGGCTATGGACCCAAAGGCACAACTGTATCATCAAAGAGGCAGTTTCTTTTCACTTTTCATCCTGCTATCTGCATTGTTCACTCCATCCTTAGCTTGGTTCTCCTTATGTTTCAGAAAGTTGTCAGTAGCTATAAAGGTCACATGCTTCCCTGTCCATGTCAACTCAGAGAGAAGGTACCTTTTCCAAGCTATCAAAGAAATCTTTTTCTTTTAGACTGATAGGGACAACTTAAGTTCTATGCTCATCCATAAACCAGTAATTGTTGCCAAAAGAAGCAGTGGTTGATTGGCTTAACAAGGTTGCTGAACAACCACCTCCAAGAGGAATGAGACACATGTTTGGTTTTTAAATCTCAGGAGTTAACCGAAAGTTCAAACTACAAATGGAAGAAGGGTAGAGTGAATTTGGGGGGTAAATTATAATGTTCCATAAAGTCGCCAAGCCTGAAAAGAACCTTTAGAGATCAGAACTTTTGACGTAACTTTGACAAATGCTAACATGAGTCTAAATTTGAGAGTACATGGCAATAGAGATCGATCATTCCAATGACTCAACTCTAAAACCGCTAGTCATAAATATACAAAGTGCTTTGGACATGACATCTCTACTGTAGATATTCCTCTAAAGACATTCTTATGTGAAGTGAAATCCCTTCCTCCTTCCTTCAGAATCTTCAATTTATTGACTTTGCAACTATTCAACAGGGGAAGTATCCGATAGACTTCAGAATTCCTTTCCTTTTGGACTCCTTTAGAAAGTTGTAGAGCATTATTTTCCTTTTGTATTTCAGCAATTTTGTTAGTGGGCTTCTTTTTTTTCCTCCTAAACTGATCATTATGGATAAACATAAAATCTCTAAATAGATTTTCCTAGTCAGTTAACCATATTCTTGGGGGAAAACATAAGGTAGAATCATTATTAAAAAGCATTCTCAGTAATACACACATCTTTATTATGTCAGTCTTTTGCCAAAAAAAAATAAGATTGATAGTAAAATCCACTTAATTTTTTTTCTTCACAGAATCAAGCCATCTGCCTCAAAATACACCACCAGCCTCTGTTAGATGAATTCACACATTTTAAAGCCCCGGAGTAACCATTTGAATGGAAATTGGACACTTCTTGTCATTTAGGAAGCTTTTTTAAACTGGAAAGGCTTCTCATTTGTTCAATTAAATGTGTGTGTATGCAATACACTTTATGAAATTTATCCCAAAACAGCGAGGGCTGAAATAATATTTGAAACAGATGGCACAGCTGCTGTATTTCGAGAGCTACCCATGGACATAGATGGAGACATTGAGGGAACTTTGAAGTGCAAGTCAAAATATTGTATAATCAAGACTCTCAACCACAGTCATTAGGGATGGGAAAGTCTTTGTAATGTCAACCCCTTCCCTAACGGAGGTGTATGGAAGGTGCTAAGATTCAGTCAAGTGGAATCGATTCCCTTCTCTGGATGAATTCTCTTCTCAGTTGAGCCTTAAAATTTGAAAATGCTGGATCTGCTGCCTCAGAGTTTTCTCTCTTGAATACTATATGGAAGCAGAGCTGCACGCTGAAAGTATTGTTCCCAAGGGGATGTTAGATAGTGGTGCGTGCAGAGCAGAGCAAAGCAAAACCGAGTGTGTAGAGCTGGAGGGAATGTCGGGGAAGAGACCACAGAGATTATTTCTCTAGTGCCCTAATTCCGTAAGAGAGGAAACAGAGGCCAAAACAGGTTAATTTGCATCACCTCCATCCCACAGAACTGGCCTCCTCAGACTCCTTTTGGGACAACTTCTACCGCAGACACTATTTAATACAAAGAAAAGAAAGGCTGAGTGCTTTTGAATTTATCTTATTTCATTTTGGATAAGCATCACATCTAAAAACAAGTCATAATTTTTATAAGGCAGATATAAAGTGGCAATGTACAAAAAAAAGTTCAATGTTTCTTAAAATTGCTTTAGGGTAAAAATATTTCATGACAGTGAACATATATGTGTCCTAATTTCTGTAAACAATGAGTATATTAACAGGGTATTTGGCTACATGTTTCATTTCACATGGATCATGTCGACACAACTTGCAGCCTGTTTTAAAACACTAACACAGTCCTACATCCTAATTGAAATGACGAAGCAAAAGTTCTGATGCAAAATTCTTGAATTCAGAATCCTTGAATAGGTAAAATACATCTGAGCAAACACACAAAGACACATGTACGTACATGTGTGCACATCCCCCCCACACACACACACACACAAAGGCATAAACGGCGACGGGGAGGAAAATATGTCAACAGTCATAGTAACAATTCATCTTAAATGCAGCAGTGTGTAGGGTTTGAAAGTTCACACATTTCCCTCTCAGTTGTGGTTTTATAGACATGAATGTTGAAAGCAGATGCCTTTAGTTTATTTCAGGGAGATCCCTGAGCTACTGAAAATGACAAATCTCAGCAATCACATTTAGGCTCCAATATCCCTCTATGTTGAAAAGAAGTGGATAAAACCCTTAATAAGAAAAGCTGCAAAAAACTAAAGTTTATCCATCATCTTCTCTGCCGCCAGAGCTAATGAAACAGAAATGAAACCATGTCCATCTTCAGAGAACTTTTCCCCGGTAGACTATGTTCCTATACTTCAGTGGAGTCCTCCTGGAGAGAGCAAATTGATTTTCTCAAATGTCTTGGTTATTCCAGAGATAGAATAAAGTCACAGTCTGATGTG